CAAACCATACAACACAGCTGGTCTCACCGCTGTCTTGTAAACATTTAATTTGACTTTCCCTGCCAACCACTGGTCAAAAATCACTCCTGAATTGTTTCTCCATCCACTTCATCCTATCCGAACTCGCTTTTGCACCTCTTCACCACAATACCCACTTTCTGGGACATTCATATTATGATTTGTTGTTTGTTGAACCCAATTTGCAGAGAGATGCTGTCACAGTCTGTCCCCTAGCTGTCTGGTATGTCTGTCTTCCCCTTTTTCTGCTTATTGTGTTTGTCATTCTGCTCTTTATAATTTTGTGTGATTCTGATTCTGTTTCCTGTCACTTTCCACTCACTCCTCAGTCTGCCTTTCCAGTCTCTTCAGTCTTAATCATTCACACCTGTCTCATCGGCCACCTGCCCAGGTGCTCTCATTACTCATTCTCCCTCTGTCTTATAAAAATCCTTTCTCTCCTCCATTCTTCGTCCGGTCATTGTTCTGTCTTGTACAGACATCGCAGTCCTCCTCTGTTCCTGTAGTCTGATTATCCACCTGAATCTGAACTCGTCCTGTTTGCTTGCCTGATCTCTGTTAAGTTTTTTGCTGTCACGTCAGCCTTTTTGTTTTGTTGTTTAAATAAATTTTATTTGAACTCCTGCCTCGCTCGTCTGCCTGCATATGGGTCTAAACTTTGAGGATTGTGACAGATGCAAGGAACCCCAAGATAAAATGAATAATGTCTAATTTATTAACAAAAAATCAAAACCAAACAAAGGCTGACGTGGCACAAAACTTACATAAATAGTAGGAGCAGGGTGACACAGAGAAAGACAGAGCATGACATGCTTGGGAGCACAATCCACAGATGGGGAAGAAAAAAATTGACATGAACTAAAAGAGAAAATGATGATAATGATTACTGCCTGGGGAAAGACAATGAGGTGTTCCTCATTGGTGAGAGTGGCAGGTTCTCAAGCTGATTACATGAGGGAAACACAGTAGGACAGATGGACAGATGACACAAGGTACTCAAATTCTAAACCCAATACACTTAAACACAGATTCTCTCAGTACCCCCCCCCCCCACCCCCCCCACACACACACACACAATCAAAGGATGGCTCTTGACATCTCAAAGGATACAACAAGAGTCAAACTGGGTGAGTGGAGGAGGAAAAACCAAGACAGAGGACACAAAGATCAAAAACCAACAGGATATGACCTGGAAAATCTCAAAACACAGAAGAACACAAAAATTCAAAGAGCTCAGGAGGAAGGCAGAGAGACCGTCCAGCACGGGACAAAAGTTTGGGTGGACGTCCAGGAGATCGTCCATAGTGAGGCAAGAGCTCAGGTGGACAGCTGGAGACCATCCAGATTGAAGCAAGAGAGAAAAATGAGATGAGTGGCATGTCAAACACAACAGGCATGTGGTCTGAAAAAGCTGTGTCACAGACTTCCACATTAAAATCATTAAAACCATGAGCTAAAACAAGATCAAAAGTGTGGCCACATTCTTGTGTTGAACCAGACACAAACTAAAAAAAAATAAATCAATAAGCTGTAAATACTCTTTGACCAATGGTTTTTCAGTACAATACACACAAATATTAAAATCTTCAACTATTAGGACCATGTCGTATTTAAGTAGAACTCCTGCCAAAACATCTGCAAAGTCAGTCAAAAAGTCTATGTTGTACTTTGAAGGTCTGTATAAAACAATGTGCAGCTCTGGCAGGGCATGTCCGAGTTCAATTAAGGTTTTCCAAGCTGGAATAAGATGTTATAGATTTAATATGTTTACAGAAATAGCTCTCTCTGTAAACATTCACTATTCCACCTCCACAACCGGTCATCCTTGGAGAGTTGAAGTAGGTACTGTTCAGTGGCAAGAGTTAACAAAAAAGCACTGGACTCACCGGAGTTCATTGATGTTTCATTTATATATAAAAAAATCCAGACTGCGAGAGGTGAAGAAATCCTTTAGAATAAAGATCTCGTTGGCTAGCGATCTAGTATTCACCAGAGCCATGTGAACATGAGAGGGAGCCGGGGTGTAATCTGTTCGGGGAACCTGATCCAGCAGCCACAGGTTGTGATGATCCACCCCGCGCCCACGAACGTGTGGAAAAGATAGGCAATGGGTCAGTTGCCCCTCATCCAGGCTAATAACATGAACCAGAGAGGAGCTGATAAGATCCAAAAAGCACCACGGGATGAAACGATTATATGCAGTTCCAAAACCAGAGAGCGACTGGCGAATATGCCAAACAAGCTTTTATTTTAGTCTCACCAGCCGGCCGCAGCATTTCCCACGGCGTCTGGGCCCTCTGCATGCAGGAGGAACTGGGGTATGACACAGGTAGGCTGGCCGCTGGCACAGCCAACAGAAACAAAGGGCAAAAGGTTTTCTGGTTATCTTGCACAAACAGCACCAACTTATTAAAACAGGTTCGAAGATTAAAAAAAGTGTTTGGCGATTATACACCGGCTGAAAGTTGCACTTTGAGTTACAGATGTAAAAGACAACAAAAATATAATCAAGGAGACAGACAAGCAAAACACACTGGCCCCGCCATCTTGAACCGGATGGCAGAGGACAGAAAATGATGAACACCTGGGGAAAGACAACGAGGAACTGGTGAAAGTGGCAGGACCTGGAAGCGATTCCCAGGACATCCTTGTAAAAAAAAAGAGATTTAATAATCTCAATGGATTTCTTCCTGGTAAAATGAAGGCTTAAAAATAAAAAATAATAAAAATAAAATTACATGGGGGAAACAGTTGGAAGGGTGAACGGATGTTAAAAAAAACAGAACAAAAACACAAGGATCTCAAATTATGAACACAAAAGACAGATAAAACACAGATTTTCTCAATTTCATCTTAAGTTCTGCCATAGTCTCTTGTGCACATCATAAAACATCTACCTTCCTTCTCTGCATCATGTCAGACAGCTCTCTACATTTGCATGTCGTTGTCTCTATGTTTAGAGCTGCTACCCTAAGTTTTTCATTCCACTTTCTCTGTCTCCTGGTACGATTTCCTCCTTGTGGTTTTTGACTAACAATAGCAAATGTTTCACCTTGCACCCTGTTTGTTAACAGCACTGGTGGAGGTCATTGTTAATTCGGGCCTCGACTGATCCAGTATAATATCATTTGGAAGTGTTCCACGTCTGATGCCCTTCTTAACAAAATCCTCACTATTTACTTGGCCTGGGACCAGCACGAAATACATTAGTTGGTGCTTCCTAGTGGCTGGTTTGATTCTACCCAGTTGAATTTGACACTAGAGTTGTAACTTTTTGCTGATTCTTAATGCTTGTTAATCTAATGTACCAAATGTTTGCTTTCGTAGCTTGAGTTAATGAATCTTGTTGTGCAGCTTTAAAGACTGAATATGAGGAGAAACCGGGACGTCGCAAAGGAACACTGCAAATTGAAAATGGTGTGATTAAAGCTAGCAGGTACACTTACTACAAGCAAACAGGTATTTGAATTTCTTAACAAGAAAACAAAGTTTTAATTCTTTAACTTTTCTTTGTAGCTCCTTTGCTGATGACTACAGTATTTCCCCTCCTATGGCATCCCCCTGCTGGCTCGTTTCACCTGGTCAAGCTCTGCAGAGACCCCTGCAAGATTTTCACACTGCACAAATTTAACAAATGACCTTGGTTGAAATGTTTTAAGAATAAAAATGATTTCAAAGAAAAAACAAAACTAAATTTACATGGTCTTTCCAAGATAATGAAAGAATACAGTTACATGTCTAACATTATAAAAATCCCCGTTGTGGTGATATTAGTGAAACATGAAGATTGTGTACAATTGCACTATTGTATACTTGAAATGTAAAAATAAAACACACGTTTTGTTTGTGACAAAGATTTGATCTAACATCAGATTAAGTCTTAGTATACAATTGAAAACAGGAATAATAAAGTTTCGCTTGACATCAGATCATTTTGATCCAATCTTATTTCGTTAATAGGTCATGCTCAAATACAAATGTAAAGAAACAACTTGTTTGTGTTGAGTTTATTATCCAGTGTTTTGTGTCCTTGAACAAAATATTGTTGTAACAAAGTCCTGGCAAAGAGTAGAAGTTTAACAGGGGACAAGGTTATTTACACAGCTGAGCTACAGTAAATTGGGGTGGAGGGTTAACTGTGTGTGGGATGGTTTCTATGTGCAAACAGGAGGGCGGCTGAAGGAGGAGACTGACGGGAAAAAGTTGTTTAAAAAGCGTACAAACAAATTTCAGCTTTGTTTGAGTTTAAAGATCAATTTGATAAGAATCGGCTCCAAGGAAACATGGGGAGAGCTGTTTTGCAGCTCACTTTCTATGGACTGCTGATGGCTTTGTCTGCTTCACAACCAAACAAGGTATACAGTCTCTTAATGGAAAGAACAAGAACGACATTAAAAAGAACTATTGCTGAATAATTTGATAAATTTTTAACAAATAACCAATATCATTTTTCATCAGGTTTAACATGTTTTTGTCAGTTGTGTCAGTTAACCAGAGCTAAACAGAGGTTTGGCCTTTGACCCTAAATGTTATTTTAGGTCACTGATTTGTGCACCTAATCTGTGCCTTTATTGTTCATTCTGGAGCTAGAATACACTGAGAAAGTGTGCAGTTACATTAAAGTGTAGTAACATTATCGTTACAAATGATTAAAATTGCATAACCTTTCTCATAATGACCAGGGAATCATAAAATATAAGTAAATTAAAACCAATAAATAGTAAAACAATGAATACATGGTATGGTATGGTATAAAGTTTATTCATTTTAAATATACAAAACAGTTTCATAACTAAATAAAAAATACAAGAGATTTAAAATGAAAGGCAGCAGAAAGAAGAAAAAATCTTATTATATCTGCCCCTTTTTTCAAACAATTAGTTCAGTCATAATAATTTTCAAGTAACAGAACAAAATGAACAACTCTTTCTAATTTTTCTAATTCTAATACAAAAACACACTAAGCTACTTATATATATATATATATATATATATATATATATATATATATATAT